GCAAACACAACACCCCAGTGATCCCAGCTGGGAATTTTCTCCAGGAATGCTCAGGAGTTGCTCACTGCTGCTGCAAACACAACATCCCAGTTCCACCCTCTGCCACTCCACCCACTCCCAGCAGTACCTGCCAGAGGGATTTGCTTTTTTGTTTACTTGAGCTCCCCCAGGAACTGAGTTTATACCAACTCACACAAATGCAATTTGTTTCTCAGTGAAGTTACACTGAACTGGGTTTCATTTAACCAAATTAACTCATTTCATTTAGCTAACTAAATTAAGGCTGTGGTTCCACTCTCACTGAAGCTGCCACAGGCACGAGTTCCCACTGAACCCAGAGCTTCCAGGGCCTTCCCTGCCCAGCAAACCCTGCCACCCTCTGAGCCAAGGCAGCAAACTGATACATACAGAGGGTCACCCAAAGAAAAAAACAAAGAGAAACTTTCTGTCAAAAAGTCCCTTTTAGGGATGACTGGGGTTCATTCTCCACTTAATAAACATTGTTTCTGTGAGGGGACACTTGTCTTCCATCCTCTTAGCTCTAATTTAGGTCCAAGTTTACCAACTTCATCTCTTAGCTAATTATCAATAACTTAAAATGTATCTCCATGTTATTGATGCTACAAATATCCTTGGAAAATGATGAAGCATGCTGGAATAGTTAGAACAATTCAAGATTTTTTCTTTACATTGAGTTCATTATCACCTGTGTTGGTGCCACAACTAATACCTGGAACCTTGCTTATTCACAAATTCTAGGTTTTACAAAGAAATTAACTTTTCTCTGCTTGGAATCACTGATCTAAATAAATGAATGTAAAAACTATTAAAATCTTAGTCTACCAGAATCCCTGAAACACATAATTTTCCAGAAATACCCAGCAGTAAGTATGGATTATAGTATGTGTCCTCCTGGTATTTTCCATCCATTTATATAACTTCCCTGGCCAAAGTGGGTATTGCTGCAATATATGCTTTAAGCATTAAAAGAGAATTTCTAAGCAGTTTATGTAGCATAAAGCTGCCTTGTATCACACCTACTCCATCCAGAATATGTGGGAAAAATTATCTTGGAGCAGTATCTAATATTTATCTTCAGCTCAAATACCTTCTGTAATTCTGTCCAAAAAGACTGTGAGTCTCAACAAGACAAAGAAAATTTTGGCATAATATATTTAACATTTTAGACATGTTTATTAACAGTATTCAGTGTTTCTGGCAGTGTCCAACAAAGAACAGAATAAAATCCATTCCTCCATCAGCAGCTTGGTTGCAGTTGACTCAGCCTGCCTTGCTTCCAAGTTTTCTTCTTTTATTAAGGAGAGAAACAATTCCTTTAAGTTGACTTTTCCCCATCACCTCTATGGTCTCTATTGCATCACAGAGGACTCTGAGCACATTATTTCCAAAAATCTCTTATTTTGTAAATAAATGGAAAAAATTGGACACTTCACCACACTGGGGGGAAATGATGCAATAATTGAATCAAAGGTTTTGCTACAAAGGTAACTCCTGGGAGGAATCCAAGTGACCAAATAACCCCCTGAACCACATCCTGCAAAGGACAAACATGAATTGTGTGCCAAGGAACAACTGAACTGTGAAAGTGTCACTTGTCAACAGAACAGCAACCAAAAGAAGTGGGAAAATTAATCCACAGCCCACAAGTTCAGATTAATGAGATCTTGTAAGACATAAGCTAAGACCATGCAGAATGTTTTATCTATAAAATAAACTCAGAGTTCCCTGTTGAAATGGAATTCTTCAGTTTTAGCCAAACTCAGAGAGAAGTGAGTGTAACCCAGAACAGCCTGAACCCCGTGGCAGCACAGCTGCCCTGCCAGAACTTTACTGTGAGCAGCAGGACAAAGGCTGATTTCACCACAAAACCTCTTCTGGTTTATGGATGTGCACTTAGAACTTTGGAGTTAACAGGTGAGCAGCACAACCTTTCTCCTGCTCCCTACATCAGTGTAAACAACCAGGCAGCTTCAGTTATTCCTCCTTAGGACTAGGGATAAAAAACCTCAAGATTGAGGCTGGATCAAGAAGCCCAAGAGGCAGAACAAGGCTCAGCAGCAGCTGCTGCACAGGGACAGAGCATCAGCACAGAGGCAGAAACAAAACCCCCACCTTCACCAGCGACTAACAATTCTTCCAGAACTCGAGCAGACACTGGAATTGACATCTGGACATGGATTTCTGAGTCCTCCCACGTCCTGACCACTGCAGCAACTCAGACTCAACCCAAAGGTTATTCAGGTTAAATAAGAAGGGGTTAAAAACAGAAAACCCCACAACAATGTTTTAACTCACGTTGGATGTGAATGAACTGCTTTGGTTGCTTGAACTCTCCTTTGTACAAACGATTGTAGTAGTTGACATTGCTCTCTGCTTCAGGGACTGGGATAACCATGCTCTCCTTCTTTTCTCTGAAAACTTGCTGTGCTGAGATTGCCCGTTGCAAATGATGTTCCTGCAAGGGGGAAAATGGGAGAGGTGATTTAAATATCAGTGTACAAAGTGCATGTAAAGACATTCAGCCTTTTCTCCCACTGTTTTCCTACAGGATAACAGAATGGAGGCTTTGCTGGGTTTTAGAGGTCAGATGCTTGCTCCCAGGATGTGTTCTCCATTTTTTAGGGTTCCTAACTGATGGGAATCTTCAAACTACAAACAGGTGAGGAGAACCCTTTGTTCAGACACAGCCCACACCTTCCACCAGACTGGGAAAAAGACAAACATTCAAACTTCACAAAATAACTTCAGCAGAAAATTAGGGCTGGGAAAAGTCAAACCCACCCAAACCTGTCAGAAGGAAAATGTATGCAAGATCAGGCCTTTAAAGTCAAAAGAATAGCAAATTTCATCATTCCTGTCTACCCAGCAATCCTCACTGGCCTGCTTTTAGAAGTTTAGCAAGTTAAGAGCAACAGGAAGAAGAGTTCTCACAGAATAACACCTGAAAAGCAAGGACTCCCCAAACAGGTATCACTTCATTTTATTCTTATGGGACAAAAGTCACAAATTCCACAGAATCACTTCAGGTGAAAGAGAGATCACAATAAATATAGGAGTTCACTAAGATTTTTTTTCCTCACATAATTTTATTAGCTAATTATTAGTTAACTCACTGACAACCATCTACTGTTGCAAGTCAGAGCTAAGCTGTAACTTCCCTCTTGAAACACTTTTCATGTTAAAACTTAAACTAAAACTAAACTAAAAAGGGTCACAGGCTAAGACACCAAGGCTAGGCTGCCTTCAGTGTGTCCAGGGGAGTGACATTCCTCACCAGGACACATGTCAGACCCACAGAGCCCTTGGGAAAAGTGAAATACCAACTCCTCCAAATCCAACAGAAACCAAAGTGCAGCCTCTCAGCAGATGAACTGCTGGTGGAACCAGGAGTGAAGGTTTCATTCTGCTTTTACTGCTCTCCCTCAAAGTTTCCCAGATTTGAGGGGAGGGAGGGTGAGCAGAATATCCATTGGAAATCTGAGCTCAGCTCAGTCACAGATCCATGGAACCTTACCTGGCCTGTTCCAGGGGCTGCAGGTGGCCCCTCAGCCACTCCCACACACTTACTGCTGGGAAAAGCACTTGTTTGAGCAGGAAAAAACACACAGAAAAAACGTTTGCTGCTCTATGTTCCTCCCTTTGGCTTTCTAGGGTGCCCCTCCCCACGGTTCACACTCCCAAGAGGCCAGGATCAACACCGGGAATGGGAAGGTGCCAGCATTCCAGTGCCTGGCTGGCACTGCAGCCTGGCACACATGGCAGTCTGGCACTCACACACTCTCTGCTACCCACTTGGAAATTCTCTCAGGAACAAGATTTCTTCCTCTTTAATTCTACAGAATGGTATTTTTAAAAAGGGAGAGTGAAAGAAAACCCTTTTAAAATATGTAAACGATATTTAATAAATGAGCTCCTTTTAATTGTTAAGATTTACAGAAACACAAATAATGCAATTCCTGCAAAATCAGAGCAGCTTTGGGAATCTCCTGCAGCTGATGAAGCAACATTAAATCAATCAGGCTCCCAAGTGAGTGCTATTAGAATTAAGACAAGCATGCAATCCAATAGCTGCTGTGATCTGCCTGAGTTACTCCACACTGAGTAAATCTGTCATTTCACCATTAAAACGTGTCTTGGAGAGCTTGGCAGTGCTGAGTAATTCAACAACACAAAAATGGTTTCATTACTGGGCTGCTTTCAACTGCTGTCCCTGGAGCTGTGTACCAACAGTCCACAGCACAGAACTGTTCTAAGGAAGGGCTCGATCTGCCCAAAATTCACATCACCTTTCGGTTCTGCAGCCATGAAAGGATAATTCAGATGAGTAATTGAGGTTCTCAGTGTTGGAACACTGCAGGAAGCACACACAGAGTTCCCGAGGAAGGTTGACAATAGGTGTTAGTACTCATTTCACTATAAAAAGCCTTGGAGCAGAACACAGCTTTCAAACAGAGATTTCAGCTTTCAGCACGGCTGCTGGCACTCCTCAAACAGCACAGCCCCAAAACAGATAGATAAGCTGTGTACATTTTAAAATTAGGGGGAAAAACCTCAAATCTGCTAACTATCAAGCACAGGAAAACTTAAACTCCTGAAACAATTCTGTTTAAACAAACCCTGAAGATTTTTATATGAAAGCCGGGCTAATTAAATTATTAAACCTGAAGAAGTGTTTTTACAGATAGATTTATTACCAAGACAACTTTTGGTCTAATTTTCACTTTTTTCTTATGGTTTTGAAAGACACACAGTATTTTAAGCTCACACTTTGTTCTGCAGTAAAGCAGATCCAAAGGTCTTACACAAAATAAGGGAACATTAGAGAACCAGTGATGACAGCAAACAGAACGTGCTGCCATGGGAATAAAAAGGAACTCTTGACAAAGAGTGATTACCCATTAATTCCTTAAAAAGCACATTCAGACCTTTCTCTCCAGCATGAAGACAAAATTTCAAACAAACACAGCTTAGACTGGGCTATTTCTTCAACCAACAGCATTAGAGAGATGTAAATGTTTAGTGTGTGTAACACTGCTGCCTGAACACATTTACACATTAAACCAGAACTGCTCTCTGAGCCTTTCTGAGACACCACAATCCTTCCTTCCATTTCTCCTCAGGAGGGAAAAAGCCCTAAAATTCCTGCAATCCTGTCTATAAACTATTCAGTTTTGGTTGCAGGCATTCAGAGCCAGGCTCCAAGTCCAGCTGAGAGCAAGGAACCTTCACTGCCATTCCCCTCATCCCTGAAACCCCACAGATCTCATCTTCTCCCTCATATCTCATATTCTCCCTCAACTTTCTGCTGGGAGTTTCTTCACTACAAAAGAGTCCAACAACAGTAATAAATCAACAGGTATTGATCCTATTAGCCTAAAGTTATTTCTGTTGACAGTGATCAATATTGAATGGTACTTTTTGTATCTTTTTTCACCAATATCATGGAATCACAGAATGGTTTGGGTTGAAATCATCTCAGAGATGTCCCCCACTGCTCCTACTTCCTTTTATCCCAAAAACCAGAACCCTTGGACCCTCTACAGACCAGGTTGGGTTTCCTTAATCTTTAAATTCTCTGTTGTTACCCTCCAAGTAATCTCTGAGAAACAGACTTCATCAAACTTTAAAATAACTGTGAGTTTTTTGTTTGAGCATGGCTGGAGATGCCCATGGCTGAAAACCAACTTCACACTGAAAAGTTCATTTTAAATATCAAACTCCAGTGAGCAATTCCATATTGGATACAAACCCTCAGAGGACAAAGCTTCAGGATTGAATTTATCTGTTCCCTTCTTCATTTCTTAAAACTACACCATACAAGCAAAGCTACAACTCTTTAGGTTGTTTCACTGCTTTAACCCCACAGCTCTCCACACAAGTAGGATGGAAAAATGAATTTATCAATAGCTTTTCCTGTACAAAATAAGCTATTTCTAGGCCAACCTGGAGTCAGCCTTCCAGTCTACCTGCACCAAGAACAGAATTAAAACAAAGAAAACAATTAAAATGTACTGAAGTCTAAGTATTTCACTTGTTTAACATGATATTTGAATTAGGAAATTTTTAAAAAGGCATTTTTATCTTTAATACTGAGATTCAGAAGCTAAAAGTAGAGAATTGTAGCTGGAAATGTGCAGACTCATCTTGCAAAGTCTCGAGCACAGTGAGTAACACCTCTCGACAGCACTTCCAGAAAAAAAAAGTGTCAGGAAGCTCAAAAGCTAATTTGGTCAGAAACCTCCCTGCCTTGGAAAGCCTCAGCCCCATCTCCTCCCTCTCTGCACACAGAGACTTTTTTTAGAGAAGATTCCCGAGAGCAAAAGTGTAAAGTCGAGCACCAGCTTTTGTTTTCTTGTGCTGTTAACCCTTTCAGCCCTACACAATGCTGCAGACCTGTCTCCCTTTCCTCCCCCTGCTCTGCCATGGAAAGAGGACGAGTGAAATGAGTGAATAAGTGAAATAAGGAGTCACATACAGAGCAGGAAATCAGCGTGTGCACCACAGGAATTCCCACCCTTGAGAGTTGGAAGCCATTGCTTCACTTCCAATTTATTTTGAAAAACAATCATTTCAGTGATTAGCAAAGTTGATAACATGCATTTTTCTGATTTGATAGAGACTTAATCTAGTCAGGAATCAGAGCTGCTTCCTCTTGCACAGGCTGTCCCCTTAAAACATTGGATTAATTATCAAGTAATGCAGGGCACTGAGAAAACCATAAAAATCCAAATATTGAGTGGAAACCAACACACTCAAACCAAGGCTTTCAGGACAACTCCACTCAGTTTCCCGAAGCAGTTTCCAACACTCAGTGGAAGGAAGCTGGAAAAAACCCTCAAGAAAGAGAACACACAAGTGGAAAGGGTTTGTGGAACCACTTCTCAGTGTCACTTTTGGCCACATCAAGTTTTTCTAACATGATATTCCCCCCACCCTTTCTTAAAAAAAAAAAAAAAAATCACAAGAACCACCTGCCCCACACTTGCCTTCCAGGCTGCTGAATTGTGACTACAGACCAAAAAAAAACGTACTAAGGGCTGGCTGCTCTTACTGACTCACTGAGGGGAGCAGGGGAAAGTGAATCAAATTGGGCTGCTCCATCCTAAAAATTCCCACAGGTCCTTGCAATGGGTGAAATCCTTCCCCGGGAGGGTGGGGATGGAATTCCCAGAGAAGCTGTGGCTGTTCCTGGATCCCTGGAAGTGTCCCAGACCAGGCTGGACAGGGCTTGGAGCAGCCTGGAATTGTGGAAGGCGTCCCTGTCCATGATTGGGGATGGAATGAGAAGATTTTTCAGATCCCTTCCAACCCAAACCAGGCTGGGATTCCTTTTCCATCACTTTTTTCCTTTTCCCATCTGTTAAACAACTGCAACTTGCCAAAGCAGCACCAGAGTCAATGTGGGATGACTTTAGCTGCAATGGCAGGATTTCAGCACATCCCCTGCAGGTATCT